GGGGGGGGTTGGGCAAATGGAGGGAGAGAGAGCTGCCTGAAATGTAGGCCAAAGCGGTGGTGGGCGTTTCCATGGAAACTGTTCACAGCAGTCAGTGACATCATCGGTACGGGGGAGAGGCGACTGGGTGGTGGGGATGGGGAGGAGAAAGGGGGGGTTGCAACAGAAATGCGTCCTGATTGGCTTGGACTTAGACACGGTTCTCCACTCTGGTCCTCCGCGGGATCCTGAAGTGAAGACAAAGACAGGATAATGTCTGTAATCTTCTACACGTCCAAAACACTCTGGACAGGCATCTAACACCCCAAAGAGAGACACACCACACACCTTCTGTTTTGCGCGTCCATGTCCAGCAGTGTCTCCTGGGACACCCTGAAGTCATCTATGGGGGACTGGTAGCGGGATTCAAAAGAGCCTTCCCTCCCTCTGTAGGCCATGGCCTGGGCTGGAGACTGAGGCAAAGGAGACATGCTGGAGGACGTTGAGGAGACTGAGCTCAGCTCCCCAAAACGCTCCCGCACTGACTGAGCTGTTGCCGACACTGATGAGGCCCCGACTGCAGCGAATGGGCTGAGAACCTCACCGTTTTCATCCTGAAATAAAAAACAAAACAAAGGAGTAAACACTAGTGATTCTCTGTATAATCAAAGATGAGCTTAAAGTCTTGCATTTATAATTTTGTCAGGTCATTCAAGAACATAAGATGAACTATAAAGGCAAAAGTAAATGGGAAGAAAAGCTGGGGAGGGATTAAGAAATAATTTGAGGGAGGCAGCTACAGACAAAGAACATACAAGCACTTAACTCAGAGAAGCAGAAGTGTTTTTTAAAAGGACTCATTTTTCCAAATCTGTGCTTTATATTGATGCTCGAGATAAAAGCAGTAGAGTCCCCTGCAACAATGTCCACTAATAGCAAATTCTGGGACCGCTAATGAAGCATTAGCTTTAAACAAAAATAATTGCGTTCACCTTTCGTACACAGAAACATCAGTCCGCTGTACTGAGAGGCCCAAGGGAGACATTTTTTCATACATGGAAGCCTTTTATGGCCCATTTGGGTGTTTTGCACCATTCACTATCTGACGAATCTCATTGCAGACCTGCCGGCTAATGTGTGACTATACATTTGGTGGTTTGTTTTTGTTTTTTTGTTTGTGGCTGCTCGTATTTCAATTGTGCGATCCCACCCGAAGCTCAGTCGGTGGGCTGAGTTAAACGAAGGGTTATGTTTGTATACAGAGGGTGTGATGGGGTCGGGGCTCATGGTTTAAGTGTTAAAATAGTGATGCATTTCTTCTTCTTTTAATAATGTCACTGCCCTTACATTTTTGCACCAGTTAGTAGCTAATTGTTTTTCATACAAATCATGTAATTCGGAAACATGTACAGTATACTATCACTACTAAGACATGAGGTACACTCACCCCTGCTTTTAAAGTAAGAATCAAAAAAAGAGGCTGTCCTGTGGTATTATTAACATACAGGAAATTAAACACGATGGAAATTAAAACCTAGGTTAGATGCAAAAAGTAAAAGCACTCTCATGTTTGTTCAGTAACTGTACAGCTACATGTTCACCTAGCTTTACATAAAGTCATGAAACAGGGTAGGAGTACGTTTACCTCGATCCAAAGGTAACGAAATCTGGGTAAAGCTCATTTGACTATTTGTTCTTCCATAAAAATAAAAAAAAATTTTTAAAAATTTAAAAAGCAGAAAATAAATAAAATAAAAAAATCAAGATCTGGCTTTCACGGCACTCATTACTAATTTGTCAGCAATATGTCTGCTTGGCCTTCTTCAAGATGTGTCTGCATGTTTTTGAGTGGTTTGTTGACAGTACAAACATTGTGGAGCTCACCCTTCCTCTGGTTATGTCCATGTGGACTAACAGAGAAGCTAACTCCAGGTCCTCGTTGTAGCTGTTCGTCAGAGGTACTGACCGGTAACCTATAAAGACAGAAGGAAAAGATTTATTTATTTATTTATTTTTTATTAGTGGTCTGCAAAAAGATCCATCCATCCATTTTTTGCCAATTGGGGAGGCAGTCTAAGCAGGGAAGCCCACACCACCTCCTCCAGGTCTTCTGGGGAGATACCATAACTAGTCAGATATGTGAAACTCCTCAGCTGGCTCCTTTTAATATGAAAGAGTAGCGGCTTTACGCCCTTCTCTATGGAAGATATCTGCCACACTACAGGGAGTGCAGAATTATTAGGCAAGTTGTATTTTTGAGGAATAATTTTATTATTGAACAACAACCATGTTCTCAATGAACCCAAAAAACTCATTAATATCAAAGCTGAATGTTTTTGGAAGTAGTTTTTAGTTTTAGCTATTTTAGGGGGATATCTGTGTGTGCAGGTGACTATTACTGTGCATAATTATTAGGCAACTTAACAAAAAACAAATATATACCCATTTCAATTATTTATTTTTACCAGTGAAACCAATATAACATCTCCACATTCACAAATATACATTTCTGACATTCAAAAACAAAACAAAAACAAATCAGCGACCAATATAGCCACCTTTCTTTGCAAGGACACTCAAAAGCCTGCCATCCATGGATTCTGTCAGTGTTTTGATCTGTTCACCATCAACATTGCGTGCAGCAGCAACCACAGCCTCCCAGACACTGTTCAGAGAGGTGTACTGTTTTCCCTCCTTGTAAATCTCACATTTGATGATGGACCACAGGTTCTCAATGGGGTTCAGATCAGGTGAACAAGGAGGCCATGTCATTAGTTTTTCTTCTTTTATACCCTTTCTTGCCAGCCACGCTGTGGAGTACTTGGACGCGTGTGATGGAGCATTGTCCTGCATGAAAATCATGTTTTTCTTGAAGGATGCAGACTTCTTCCTGTACCACTGCTTGAAGAAGGTGTCTTCCAGAAACTGGCAGTAGGACTGGGAGTTGAGCTTGACTCCATCCTCAACCCGAAAAGGCCCCACAAGCTCATCTTTGATGATACCAGCCCAAACCAGTACTCCACCTCCACCTTGCTGGCGTCTGAGTCGGACTGGAGCTCTCTGCCCTTTACCAATCCAGCCACGGGCCCATCCATCTGGCCCATCAAGACTCACTCTCATTTCATCAGTCCATAAAACCTTAGAAAAACCAGTCTTGAGATATTTCTTGGCCCAGTCTTGACGTTTCAGCTTGTGTGTCTTGTTCAGTGGTGGTCGTCTTTCAGCCTTTCTTACCTTGGCCATGTCTCTGAGTATTGCACACCTTGTGCTTTTGGGCACTCCAGTGATGTTGCAGCTCTGAAATATGGCCAAACTGGTGGCAAGTGGCATCTTGGCAGCTGCACGCTTGACTTTTCTCAGTTCATGGGCAGTTATTTTGGCACCTTGGTTTTTCCACACGCTTCTTGCGACCCTGTTGACTATTTTGAATGAAACGCTTGATTGTTCGATGATCACGCTTCAGAAGCTTTGCAATTTTGAGACTGCTGCATCCCTCTGCAAGATATCTCACTATTTTTGACTTTTCTGAGCCTGTCAAGTCCTTCTTTTGACCCATTTTGCCAAAGGAAAGGACGTTGCCTAATAATTACACGGGTCTAGAGTGCGACCAATTTGGTCGCAAATGCGACCAAATTTTTCAGTGGTGCGACTAAAAAAAAAAATATTTGGTTGCACCTGTGCGACCAACTGTTCGGGTAGCAAAAAAAAAAAAAAAATCTGCAACCTTCCCTGTGGTCAACAACAGACACACATTTTGCCCCTATCGTGGACTAAACCAATCAGAGATAGTAAGGGGCGGGACCTCTCTGATTGGCCGTGGTCCAGTTGAAAGTGCAGGTGGAAGTGGGAGGTGAGTAGCTTGAATAAAGCGATATCAATTCATTAAATCCTGAATCGACTTTTAAATATAACTGTGTTTTGCCAGAAACGCCAGATTCTCAGATTAAAGCTCACAAAACCATTTCAACAACAACCAAACAGCAGATGAGAGCAGGTACACGGACTCCACACAAAGACGTAAACACAGAGGACCGACGCATCAGAATCAGCTTTGTCTTTCTCGGCTTTCTCACCCGACGGCCCGTAGACGGACACGCTGTCGGAGCTTAGCGATCCTGATGCGTCCGGTCCGCGCTGTGTTTACGTCTTTTTGCGTTGAACCAAAATTCACCGAGCCAGCAGCAAAAGAAGCAGCAAACTGCGCTTCACATTTGATCAATGTCGTCATGAATTTTGCTGTTTTGCTTCCACGACTATTAAAATCACACTCCATGCACAGCTAGCTCTCTCTCTCTCTCTGTACTTCAAGAACAGTTTCCCGTCTCCAATCTCTGTTTTCTGTATTATTCATTCGCTTATTACCCACCAGTCTACCGTTGTTTACAGCGCTGTGGCTGCTGTCTTTTTCTTTTCTTTTTTTCACTTAAATGACCTCGGACAAGAAAGCCTGTTTTTTCTGTTGTTCAATACTGAAGAAATTTAAACTTTATATGCAGAACATTGTAGAATATTTTTAAGGTTATCTGCTATAAAAAGCCAGACCAGGAAAATCTCCTTCATGTTTTTCTGTGTTTTATTCTCAGTTACTTTCACACAAAGGCATCTGCTGTGATGTTCACAATTCTGATGAAGTCAGTACTGATAAATGATCAGAATTATAATATTTCTGACTGTCTGAGGCTAAGTTGAATCGAATCGGGACTTTGAAAACCGGAATCGAATGGATTATAGAAATCAGTGATGATACCCAGCCCTAGTGAGCAGCCTAGGCACGACAGAAGTGGATGTAGCTGTAATAGGAAAAGAACTATTGCTAACTTTTCTGTTAAGGCCTGATCCTTCTGAAATTCATAGCCAGTGCTCTGACACGGTGTCATCAATCTTTGAATGCTGAAAAAGCACAGTGTATCCAGAAAAACACATTATATTATATAAATTATTATAAAATTTGTGTGCGCCTAACTTTTGTGCCGGTACGCCTAACTTTTTAAAGTTAGGCGTACCGGTACGCCCATGGCAAAAAGTTAGTCTAGAGCCCATTATGCACACCTGATATAGGGTGTTGATGTCATTAGACCACACCCCTTCTCATTACAGAGATGACATCACCTAATATGCTTAATTGGTAGTAGGCTTTCGAGCCTATACAGCTTGGAGTAAGACAACATGCATGAAGAGGATGATGTGGACAAAATACTCATTTGCCTAATAATTCTGCACTCCCTGTATAGAAGAAGCTAATTTCCAGTGCTTGCATTGGTCACTACCTATGCTCATGCCTGTAAGTGAGCAGATAAATGTAGATCGACTGGTAAAACTCACTTTTACACTCAATCCCCCGCTCTACTCACCCCTCACCTCAAACAAGACCCCGAGATACTTAAAGTCAGCAACAAAACATGTAAAAACTATTTACAGACATGTTGAAGGCGTACCTGTCTTTAGCCCGTGAATGGGGAACGTAGCCTGAGCCAGGAAGTTTTGGTCGTTGAACATGTCGATCTCATACACCACAAAACGCAGAAAGGCAAAAGCAGAGTTGCACACGGTGAACTGGAATGTCTTTCTCGGCCAAGTGGGATTGAGACCATTATCAGCTACAGAAGAAAAGAAATATTGAAAATGTAAAGGGTGTATTCTCAATTCTCTAACATTTGTGCAATTATATTTCCCTTGTAACAGCAGTATAAAGACTTCTGTAATTAGCTGCTAGATAAAGGTTGCACCTCTACATTACACGGAAATAAAACCCTTTCCAGGACAAAAAAAAAAAGAAAAAAAAAAAAAAAAAGAGTATGTCATTAACAGAAAATTATTTTTCCTTGGCTCGCTGCCCTTTCTGTAGAACCAGAGAGCAGTGAGAAAAAAAACAGCAGAAGGAAATGCCAAATGTGTTAAAATTTTGAGTTTATGTTTATGTATTTATATTTAAAAGATAAATATGAGCTGGGCTTACATCGGAATCTGCCATCTAAAGTAACAGAAGTTATCTGATGACCTAGTTTTGAATAAGTGCCAAATTCAAAGGGGTGAATGAACTTCACTGATAAAATGATTGACATTTAAAAAGTGTGTGTACAACCAGTACAGGCAAATAAATATAAATGGGAACAAATGCTGCTAGAGCCCACAGTACAATATGCCGATATACCACTTTTTAGTAATATACTGAAAAAAAAGTCGTTATAAGTATAGATTACATTTCTTAAATTTGTACTAAAGTAATCCTGTCCTTACTCACTGATGGGAATTCTAAAGAGTAAAGTATAGGTTGCAGTAAAATTTCCCAGTATCCACATCAAAGTATGTAGCAAACAAAATCTATGCATTAAACCATCAAAACATTAAAAAAAAAAAAAAAAAGTGTTTCTTCTGTCATAACGACCTGATGAGAGCTGTGCGAGTTTCAATGTTTTCCCTTTGTATTCCCACACATGGCACAGTTGTTTGTATAACTTCCTGTTTTTCCTCAGACCATACAGGAAATTACACGAGGAAAATATATCCAGTAAACAGCAACTGCTTTTTTTTTTTTTCCTCCCCAGTTTTGGCAGGGCCTGTCTTTACTGGCAGAGGAACTTGTGTTTAAATAAGAGCAGCTTCACCTTCAGAGTCTGTTTTTTGCTTGGCGCTGTCGTACTCCGCTCCGCACACCTCGATCTCAATCAGAGGGCAAACGATGCCACGTCCATGCTTGGGCAGATGCCGGGAGCCCAAGACCTTCAGAGAACAAAAAGCGATTAACGTCTTTGGAATTTTTGTTTACATTAACATGTTGCTACAAACAAACACACAATGCTTTTCCATCAGTGACATCTTATAATGTGTTTTTCTGCTCAATTGCTAACTGAGTGTTTGAACTACAGGTTGAACTCCTCCTTTAAACATGTGTAATTAAAAGCATGACTATGAGCAGTGTTTGCAGTACACCATTGGAAGCAGTCAGTGAGTCTCACAGTGAAGAAACAACAATGAGCTTCCTGACTTGATTTCTAAACAAGTTCATGAATGTTTATTCATAATTTATGAAAAGTGAGTTACCTTTAATCAAAAAATATTATTACGTCTGCAACTAAAGGGGAATGTATTTATATGTAAATTGCAGCAATTGGTTGCTAGGTTTTGTAAAGTACCTCGGTTACCTCTCCGAGCTGTGTTACAATCACTGCTGCTGCTCCAGTGGGCAACTACAATCACACTGTTAACAAAACACCACCTGTCAGTTTCACCTTGTCTGTCTCCATAACCACCACCCACTTCATTTATCCCAAAGAGATGAAAGGCAGACTCGTTTCTGCACAACTGCATCACACCCGAAAGCAGAAAAATCCAGTCCTCAGTCTACTGTACCTCAATCTCTAGACTGACTTGCTCCACACCCCGTAGTGTTTGTCTGTCAAAGGGATCAAAGTTGTCGTCCCTCATGATGGGCGGCTGAAGGACGTAGCCACTTCTTCCGTTCAGCATGAACAGGGCCTGGTTCATCTGCATGGGCTTGTCTGCAGGGAGGGAAAGAGGAAGGAATAGAAGGAAGGAATAGAAGGAAAAAAATGTAAAAAGCACGTAAACAAATGAAATGTACGGTGTCTTCCAGCTTTGCTCTCAGAAGGGAAGAGAAGATACCTCCTGTCTGGAAGTTAAGTGCTACCAGCTGAGATCCGCAGAGCCACATGGGGAGCGGGTCATAGTTAGAAGAGTCTAATCTCTGGCCTCTGGGGTAGATCCTGGACAGCTGCAGCCGATTGTACTGCAGGAACTTCTTCCCCTTGATTTTGTTGACGTATTTCTCTGCCTTGGTTTCAGGGAAGGATGACATGTCCCGGAAACAGGCTCGCTCTGTGCCAATCTCTTAAAAAAAAAAAAAAGCGACGACAAAAGAGAAATGTGACCCCATCTGCATTTGGTGTTTTTCTTTTTATTATGTGTGCAGGTGAGTGAGTGCACATAGTTCTTACTTTCTTCATCAAATGGCACAGGCCTACAGTAGATGACAAGGTCAGATAATTCCAGTGCAATCTTCTTCCTCCTTTCCATCATCTTCCCCTCTTCTATCTGGCCACAGACATGGCACAAGTATAAATATAGTAGTACCAACAGTGAGGCACATCACTGCTCAGCTTAAACCCAAAGTGTGAGTGCATTTCATGTGAAGCATATTATTTCTGTATATTTACCTTGGCCTCTGAGGTCAAGGTGACCTCACGGATCTTGAACACCCATTCCTTGAGCTCTTCTTGCGTGTTTGCAGCGATGTCGAGCGGTATGCCTATCCGCACAGGGGTACTCTGTGTCAGGGTGAAAACATAAGGCCTGCTGCCTTTCCCTTCGGTACGAACATCTGAAGAGAAAAAAAAAAAGAAAAAACTTAGAAAAAGGGAACCAATAAATGGAAGTAATGACGGTTTTAAAAAAGTAAATAAATGAGGCTGGTGCTGAAATCATGGACATACTAGACTAACAGACCATAAGCAAAGGAAGAAAACATGGTGGAGAAGAAACACCTGAGAAGAGCCCAAGATGACAAATCCATAGCAATTATTGTAAACCATCTGTATCATCCAGTATTAGACAATAAGTGATAACATTCAGCAAGGAGTTATTTTTAAAGAATGAAAGGATTATATAAAACCAAATAATCCCTTTTAGAATATAGTTGGGTTTTGTTTTGTTTTTAAATTAAAACATTAATGTTTTTGTAAATGAATGTAATTACTTTCTGAGCATTTTTAGCTCATCTTTCATACTACCACTAGATGGTGCCAACGAGCCACCCAGATGGACAAACGGACTCAGGTTAACAATGCAAGGCAGCATGTACCAGACCTAATAGGGGTGTACTGGCAAGGCTGCAGGATGTCAATAACATATCAAATGCAAATCGGAGAGAAAAGCAACAGTAATAATAAAAACAGAGAAGACTTATTAAACTAAGAGGCTGATAATGGAGAAAAATAACAATAAAGAGAGTGATGACTAGGGCCGGGACGACGTGTCGACGTAATCGATTACGCCAACGCGTCGTCACTTTCAAAACAGACATGGCGGCAGTGAGTAGCGGCAACACAAGTGGGGCAGCCGCAGTCGACTTAAATCATTCCACCCGAACACGCAGTTCTACAGTATGGGGATATTTTAACAGAAAAGGAAGCACGACGGCTATGCACTTTGCACATTTCATTTCTTGTTAAATGCCATCTCTAATATAAGATTGTACTACTACAACTTTATTTTGCAATTTTTTTATTAAAAGGTGTTGAAATGAAGAAATTTGTGTTTTCATTGAGATACATAAATTAGTAAATGTGAAATTGCTATACAAGTCAAATAATGGGGAAATAATCGATAATCGAATCAAATTGAAACAGAATCAAATTGAAAAATTAATCGGTAGATTCATCGATTAGGAAAATAATCATTTTGCCCAGCCCTAGTGATGACTGTGTCCTACAATTAAATTTATTTTTAAAAGCAGTTAGTAGGGGTTTACTGCTCTCAAGGTGACTTGCTACAGGAAGCGAAGGTGCTACTTACTAATCTGACAGGCAGACACATCAAGACTTCCTCTCAGCATATCTCCAAGAGGACTGTTTTCTGTCATCTCCTGTTGACAGAAAACAGAGAGCACATATGTATCTTTGTAAATGAAGACATGAATGATCTCACTGTGGTGGGAGCAGGTGTACTCATTTCTCTTGAAATAAATACAAAAAAAATGTGGTTGAGTAAGCATCTCGTTTTAAAGGTTTGATCCTCACAGTTCTATCAGGCTCGGCTGCTGACGGACTGATCTCCTCCACGTAGTTTGCCGGAAACCACATCTGCTTCTTTCCTCCACAGTCACCCTTCCACCTGAAAGAAGAAGAGGCGGGAGGGGTAAAGAGACAAGGGATGTGGTTTGTAAATATTTAGAAGCGTTTCATATTTAGAAAATGATCCCAGGACAGCTAAGAGAATTTTAAATGTGTCATTCACTAATTTACCGTAGTTCTCTAATGCTAAGCACGTAGTCGCAGTCTAAATGAATAATTAAGAGCTACTTCCTGAATGGATTTGATGCCACTCACTTACCATCCCCCTTCCTGTTTTTCCACATTAGAGATGATAGCATTCTTAGTGAAGGAAAGCTCATCGTCTCTCTGGGCTTTATACTCATACATGGCTCGCACCGTGCACTGAAAGACAGCACACAAGGTTACGTCATGTTTACATGTCCAAGTGTTGATGTTGCAGATCTCAGCTAACTGTCGATTTCTCCATCCTGCACTCTTACCTTAAATGTTGGCATTTGATTAGCCTCCACATAAAAGCCTGGATTCCTTCCCTCATACAGTGACCCGTAGTCTGGCTCCTATTGGGCAATACATTATGAGTTTGTTTTTCTTTTTGTGGTGATTTCACCACAGAATGAAACTAGCATAATGCCATGAAACAATACAGCATTTTTCACTGGCCAGACGTTTCCTTTGTAGACTGTATAATGTGGTACTTACAGCAGTGCCTATCTTCTCCAGTGTGTCCTCGTTGATGGGATAGCGTAGTTTCATTTTACGGTACAAAGGGTGCTTCTCATAGTAGCTAATAAGATCTACAAGGCTGTCAAACTCTGAGGTGCCCAGCACCACGGTCTGACCCTCCTGCTGCACACGACAGTGCTTTATTTTACCCTCGGCTCTGTGAAGAAACCCAAAGAGAGAACTCTGCTAAATAACAATGATACAAGGCATTTATGTGCATGTACACTCAATATGCTGATCATCTAAGATTTAAACTGGCAACTAAGTTACCTGAATGAAATGGCAAAGGAGTTGGGCTCTGCCCTTTTCCTGACTAGAAAAGCCCCATCGCGAGGAACCCTCATCAACATGTTCTCTGCATGGCTCCTGGAGAGGTTGGCGTGGTACCACCTGCGACAAACAAAAACAAAAATATGATGCACATCACGTAATAAATTCAGCACTTTCTCAGTAATCTTTGAAAATGCATATGTGTACTCACTCTTTGCTCTCGTGAGCATTGGTCTGAGGTACTGGCTCAGTCAGCTTCATCTCAAATTCGTTACAGCGCAGCGCCACCTGCTGGTAGTGGGTAATCAGAGCAAAGAGCGTGTCAAATACCAGGTTGTCAGTCAGGTAGAACTTTGGGCTGCCTGCCTCCTGACGAGAGTGGATGCGACAGTGCTGCACCCGGCCCGAGCGCCTGTTGCAGAGATGGGAGGCATTGGGGGGGGGGGAGAGAGAGAGAGAGAGAGAGAGAGACAATGAAAAGTCAGTTTTTCTTCCAGTTTGATAAACAAGTTAAGAACACGTGAACTGTTGTTCATCTTTAACAAACTGCCTTGTGATACCATCTCTACATTGTTCCCATAGCTTGCAGGTAAATAACAGAGACTGATCTGTCCTGCCCTCCTTTCACAAAGAGCTCATAATATCAGACAGATCACACGCCACACTGTGACAGCCATGATCACTGACTGATCTGCCAGTGCGACACTTAAATTTGGTTATATTTTAGTGGCACGTGCTAGTTTTCTACATGCAAGTTAAAGTTTCCTATACTTAAAAGTGATTTCCCCTAAATTACCTTTTCCACCCTGAAATCCAATAGATGTTTTTTTAAATACAAAATATGTGTACTTACCAGAAAGACAAGGTGTAGTCTCCGACAAAAGTCTCGCTCTCCCGAACTAGGAAGGAGCCATCAGGAGCTCCAGTCTCCAGGCAGTACTCAGACAGCAGCCTCTCGGCTATCTGCCGTCCATCCCGCCCAGCACCAAGCTTTCCATGAAACCATTTCTCTGTCACATGTTGATCCATACCATAGGACACCTGGGAAGATTCAAGATGTGTTCACTTTATGTGTATCTACTTTATCTCTAAATAAGAGCCTCCCACAGACCTCTAAATATTAAAATTGCATCAAATTCCGAACAATGCGAACAAATGTTCACGCTCAAAAATAATTTCTGTACTTCAGCAGCAGGTCAGACCTACTAACCTCTCTGTGCTCCTCCTCATCATCATTTCCCGGGTTACTGGAGGTCTCTTCTGAGTAGTAGATCTTACTGCTGGTCAGAACAAAAAAATGAGGGTACCACTCCTGGGATGAAGGGAGAGAAATGAGACAGATTGTTAGTTCAAATAGCTGGATCAAATATTTACAAGATCCATGTGTTACAGTGCAAAGTGGCACAAGATGATACAGAATAAGAACTTGATATCCCAAGGAAAAAATGCTGATAAAGCATGTCTGAGTTATAATTGTAAGTGTAAGAGATGATAAAGGAAGACTGCAACATAATTTGTCTTAACTTGATTTTTCATGTTTTTACTGATAAACACCACATAAAGCATATGTGATACAGAAGCTAGTTTTTCTTTTCTGACCATTTCTGCCCAAAAATTCTTTCTCGTGCAGGATTCAGAAACTATTTATACACTGAACATGCTTACATGGTTAATGGGATCTTCCAGGTACAGGATGCCATTTTTAATGGAGTTGCTGATATCATTCTCTGAGTAGGGAGTGGTGGTGGACACCTCCTCATAGGCACTGCCTTCTGCGAGCTTCTTATGCTGCATCAGATAAGAGGAGAAGGACAGACAGAGTAAGGTTACTAATCCCCACCCCCCAAAAATCAAAAGATTTCTCATGACTCCAAGAGGCTCTGACCTTGATGAGGATCTTCCTCTTGAGCTGATTGGGTGAGGGCAGCCCATCTGCTGCGATATCCACTGCCTTGGTTAGAAGCATGTCTCCAAACACCTTCTTAAAGTGAGTGGCCATATTCCTCTGCTGTACAATACTACAGTGGTCCTCTATGGACAGGATGATGGGATATCTGTAAAAGGGACCACCGATTCAACCTCAGAGGAGTGGCAAATCCAAGGAAACCCCTTGTTTAACTTTGTTCTGATGTGACTTTTATTTTCTCACAGTGATGTCACTGTGGCCTGCCTACAGTGTTTCTAGATTAGTGTGTGCCCGTCATCTCTTTATCTTCACCATCTCTTATCCTGTTAATCACCACATCCTCACTGACAGTCATAAAAAGAGAAGAAAACAAAACAAAACAAGAATAGCATGTTGTCATGCACACTCACTCAGATGTGACAAAGGCGTGCTCTTTGATGGTGGTCAAGACATCAGAAAACTTGATTTTGGTTGTAAGGGTGTGCCCATGGTAGATGACTGGCATTCCCTCAGGGCCATCCCAGCAGTCCACTGAAAAAAAAAAAAAAAAAGATAGACACATGCATGCAACATCATTTTATCTTTTATCCTTTAAGGATAAAGAAAATCAACAGATGTGTGTGAGTGACGGGACAATTGTAGGATCTGTATGTTTCAAGGCAAACAAGATCTACAACAAACAAGTCTTATTTATAGAAACCTGCCTGACAAGGGTTTGCTGAAAAGCAATATCGGGAACGGTTGCATAAGTTTTTGCATGTGAGGACCTGGTTAATGGTGTATTAGCTGGGGTTAAAAGTCGAGCTGTGAAGGATAAGAAAGTGGGTAAAAGTTAATTAGTTGGTTAAAAGTCAAGCAGTGGTGATTTACTACTCGTGGGTAAACCGTACACCTTCCAGTGTGTGTGTGTGTGTGTGTGTGTGTGTGTGTGTGTGTGTGTGTGTGTGTGTGTGTGTGT